CTTTTGAATCTGGCGCGCGAGCCGGTCCAAGAAAAACAGGCGTAACTCACTTAAAATGGCCCGGAGGCGTAAAATTTCGACGGAGATATTGAAAGAGGATGCTGTCGGACCAATCCCAACCATTTCCAGCGATTTTTAATTTTTTCATTTTTGGCAAAATATACAAAGGCTATAGCCTTTGTGTTTTTAGCGAAAAATGATGAGTCCGGATTTCGACGGAAAAGTATTCGAATCGACAGGGGTGAAACAGGGGACCATAAAACTACCTTTGGTTCCGTCAGAAACCACCCCTGTCCAGAAAAACTTGAGTTTTAAGGGTGGTCTTTTGAATCTAGCGGGCAGTGTACGATGGGCTGCCTACCTCGCAGGCGAACCGGTCCAAGGCGTAACTCACTTGAAATAGCCCGGCGGCGTAAAATTTCGACGGAGATATTGAAAGAGGATGCTGTCGGGCCAATTCCAACCATTTCCAGCGACAGGGGAGAACCAGGGGACCACAAAACTTCCTTTGGTTCCGTCAGAAACCACCCCTGTCCACAGAAACTTGAGTTTTTAGGGTGGTCGAGCGGGCTGCGTAAAATGGGCTGCCTACCTAGCAGGCGAACCGGCCCAAGAAAAACAAGCGTAACTCACTAAAAATGGCCCGGCGGCGTGAAATTTCGACGGAGAGATAGAAAGAGAATGCTGTCGGACCAATCCAAACCTATTTCAGCAATTTCCCAAATTCTCAAGACTTTCAAGACATTTAAAAAAATAACAAATCAACCTGGATTTTGGACGGGGGACGATTGGAATCGTCAGGGAAGAACCAAAGGCACCACAAAAACCATTAAAAATCGACCTTTGATACACAGCAAAGGGAGCAGAGACAAATATTGGACCACCTTGATTACTGTCATGTCGACTCACCTATATGTTCAGGTAAAATGACTCCATGTCCATGTCCGTGGCCAGGCGGGAGTGCAAAGTCCGGCCACACCGTCAGAGTTGACTCCGACAGCTTAGAAAAATTGCCAGCTGAGGTGGTGTTCAGTCCCCATATAGAGTTATGAGGTATTTGAACTCTGGGCTGTGTTCCTGCAATCATATTAAATAGCAATTACATATAATTTAACTCATAGTATGGTAACTCAATTTACCACTGTATTTCTTTCAGAGGGAAAAAAGACTTCGGCAGAAGGAAATAACGTGGTGAATTTGAAAAAAATAAATTCATATCATATTGAAAGTGGACTATTTAGCCCTCAGTAAATCAAGAATATCAAAAATGAAAAAAGATTTAAAGCTGTG